TTTCCTGTAACAGCTGGAGTGAAAGTTTATGCACTGTACTTCTAGGATTGCATAGATTAATAAACATCATGTAGGAAAGTTGGAATACAATCTATGTTAAAATAATTATTAAAGAAAAAACACGAACAAGGTTTCTCACATAATTGGTTGGCTCAGTGATTTCATTTACCAGCATATTGTAGATGTTTAACATCTGTCTTGCTCATCAAGGTTAACATATGAAAAACTATGCAATTAAAAGAACATTTTCTATATTTTGGATCAACTGGCTTGAAGTAGCCCTTTTAATTAGAACATCCACCTTTGAAAACAGGTTGAAAGTTGCATAAGTCTCGAAACTTATTCAAGATTTCGGATATCAGTATGACTTCTAAATCTTTCCTGATACGATTTAACAGTTATTCTCTACTGAAGAAAAATGAAGTTGAGAAACATTTGTGAAGTGCCTCGTGGTAATAGTTACATATTTACACCTATTACACCTAATTACCAGGCATGCGTTATAAATAAAGCTCCATTATTTGACCAAGTTGAACTCCATCTCGTGTGCTCGAATCCAGACAACCGCTTAAAGTTAAAACTTGAAAACTGTGTGGGCGGGAATGCCAGTCTGTTTTGAATGACTAAGTTACGCGCTCGACCCTCTCTTCCCGGGTGACTAATTACTGCTCAAGTTGATAAAGTATAGCTTTAACTGATTATGACGTGTCGACGACCAATTGAAAGTAAGGGAGACCGTTTAGCCAAGACTGTTTTTAAGTCATCAATTCCCTGTGGGGGTCTCCCCATAACTTCTGAAGACTGATTTTGCAGCCTTGTTACAGCTCTCTTTAAATGATCCTTTTCGTCTCCTTCTTTTCGATGTTTTTATCCAAGTTATTTTGTAGGTGAAATCTGTGACTGTTTGTGAAAAAGAAGTCTTCTCAAATGACCTATGGCATTTTCTCTCCCACCGAAAACTTCGGGTTGACACACACAAAGTAAACAAACTACGTTTTGATTTGCTAAGATGATTTAAGGTTGAATATTTTTGTTGTAACAAAACGGCTACTGGAAGTATTTTCTCTAATCGAAATGATAGGTATCTACCAACGTAATATAAAGAAAGACCGCTAACAAGCTTTTATTAAAATTTTGGGAACTTCTTACACAATCTAAATAATCAAAGTTATTTAGAGGTTTTAATTTTGGATAAATGTCAGTATAATATTTAAGCGTTTTGGTATAGTAATCACTATAGTTACTTAAAACATTATTAGATAAAATAATCTTGGAACATGTAACACCATTTCATAGATATATTCTTGCTATATGACAGTGTTACGTATGAGATATTCTGTATAAAGAACACCGTTAAAACATTATTAGCGTTACTATAAATAGTACTATATAAGATGTTGGCAACTAAACTCCATGGTGATCTAATGGCTTTTGACAACATATTGTCAGTCAGCAATACATTATAGCGGCTGTGCATATCCCGTAACATAAATGGCAGCTTTTACTTCATAACACAAAGTGCAACTCCCTCATTAATTTAAGTCCATTCTATTTACAGTTGATATGGATATCTTGAATAAAATCGTTTGTTTTTTTTACTTTGTCTATGATATTAAGCAAATAAAATCAATTTAACATCCACTTGTATAAGAAGGTTAGAGGGATCATTGTGCTTATCAGCTCTACTACATTTCCGCTCTCATTCATGTCATGCATTTTTTTTTTATCAATAACTTTTAAACAAAACCACAGAAGGAGACTATTCCCTGTGACTAATGCACAACTGTATAAAATACGATATCGACAAAAGGTTAGTAAAGGATTGCACTTTTGAAACGTTTTTCTATTTAAAAAGTATGTTAAAAGTAGCAGACGTCATACATACATATTATAAACGAAAATATTCTAGTTTTTATAACGAGAAGGAATATTTAGATAACTCTAACTAATCTATCCAATAGCTCTTTCCAGTCTCATGATTTTATGCTTTTGGTGATAGATAATTTACACTAATAGTTTGTATTTAACATAGCAAATGGCAGCTTTCTATTTTTCATTATACAAATTTGCACTTGCGTTTATCGCATATACTGTTAAAGAAATGTAGTGAACTAAAGTATTTCTTTTTATATATGTTTATACACATTTTATGTCCTTAAAGGTTTACACAAATGGCTTCGTTTCATTTTCAAGCGACATTAGTCAAGTTATAATGGAATGTTTTTGTAAAAGCTTGATATCATGAGACAAACATTATTTGAAAAGATATGTTATGGTTGCTACATAAATAACATTATGGCAACTTTTGTACTAACTCGCACTGATAACAGAAAATAAAAAGGCTAATTTTACGAGATTGAATTGTTCTTAGTAAACCTCGCATACATATAAATCTCAACTATTCTTTTATTACAATTTAAAAAAAATATGAAAACCTAAACATTTTCAGTGAAGAACAATAACTCAACTCGCTAGTGAAATGTGTATTATCTTAGAAACACTTTCACTTCAATCAAGACCAAGTGTGAAGGTAACTAGTGTACCAAGAAGAAGATCCTTTTCTGTAAAACCCCAGGCGAAGCATTATCACTAAACAAACACAGGGCAATAGTAATGGTAGTATTATAGGAAGAAACGTAGAAATGAACATGATTTAACCACGTGGTGTGGTCGGGGTACTTCTTAGATCACACGTTTTACGCCATGAAGACCAAGACGGCTCTTCTCAAGCTTCAACGAAATGTTTTGGTATTGGATTTCTTTAGCCCTTAACGGAGAATTTAATGCATTTCGGCCAGTTACCGACAAGACAGTACCGCTGTCTTCGCTTCTCTTGCCGCTGTTTTATAGGTCGCACGTTACACGTTGTACCAGGTCCGACCAGAAACAGGGACTACAATAGATATGTTATGGTCGAAAAGAAGCATTGCAATGTGTGTGGCCTGATCCACGTTTTGGGATTTTCGTTTCTCTTTTCGCTCTTTAGATCTTCCCGCCGCCCTGGGAAATGTACCATACTAGCCACCCAGCACTTTAAGAAACACGTGTTTTTTCTTCACAGCTGTACAACATCGAAGAAACAACACGGATGCTCTTTGCAAACGTAACGCTTCCAAAACTACACACACACCTTTCGGCAAGTTTCTTCAATTTTCAAAGAATAATGCGTGGGCCATGGTCTAGAAGGGAATATTGCGTGTTCAGTCAGGTGATTTCAACCACATATGGTAACTAAGGCACTCTTGACGAACAGTCAGTACTCAGTAGACGTACCATGAAACTAATTTTGCATTTGAGCAAAATTACTGGCTGTTTCAACTTTTATTTTTTGTTTACTTTTTCCGAGTCTATAATATATTTTTCTGTTCGTTATCCATTTTAAAGTAAGTTTCTTTTGTTGAAGTCATCTGTATATAAAAAAGAACATTTGTATGTTTGTGGCTTTTAAAGCTATTTGTGGAAGATTACATTTTGTTTTTGCCTACCCGAGATAAAATGTCGAAAAAATATAGAATTAATGTGCAGCTCCATTAATGACATAATTGTTTCCTATTCGAAATTGAGAGACAGATTTATTGCGCCTGTTCGAAACACAATTGTTAAAAGAAAAACCAAAGTTTTAATGACTCCCAATAAGCAGTTGGAAATGGAAGTATTCCCATACTCAATCATTTACTGTATAAAGATAAAAACCTTGAGAGAACCCCAGTGGTTGAGCGGCAAGTGTAGAGGCATATAACGGTAAAAACCGGGTTTAAGTCCCCTGGTGGGCACATCACAGATAGCCCATTGTGTAGCTTTGCGCTCAGTAACAAATAAATAACAACAAAAAACAAAAATTGAGAATGGGAACTGGTGTTGATGAAGCAAAACATAGAAACATGTCGAGTGTATAAGACTGTTCTCATGTATGTTCTTTATATAGCAAATTACTGAGTAAATATTTTATTGTATTTCCAGATTGAAAACAGTTTATTTTTAAATATTTATTGTTATCATTAAACGTTGGTATTTTCTTTCAACAACTGTGTTATTTAAAATTTACACATGTGTAATCTTACTCTTAATAGTACGTATTCATGTTGCATTTTCAGTTCACATGAAGTTATATAAAGATATCATTAAAATTATGAATAACAAATTCACTGTTAAAAAAAGATGTAATATTTAATTATTATAAATATATAATTACTCCAACTATATTCATAGTATATAACAATCGCTGATGACGTTTTACTGGCTAAATATACGGTAATTCGACAGTAAAATTCAATCAAAGATGTGCCAAAATAACGTGAAACGTTTGAAAACGTCATACATTCAGATTTAATTGTTTTAAATATATAATTAAAATTCAATGACGATGTTATTTATTCAAAATTTCTCTTTGTTTTCATGCTCTGTATTATCAAATGTAACTTGTGGTTTTATAAATTAAAAGTAAACTAGTATAAACTAGTTCAGAAAGCATTTTCTTTGGCTTACTTTGGTAAAGAAGGCGAAACAAAATGAGCCTTTCCAATGTCTCGTAACGTTTCATCAACTTAACAGATAACTGAGCTTCAATAATGGAAGCTAGAATGTTTGACATACATGTTAATACCAAACTTTTAAAATAAAGGAGAGTTAGTTGCAATGAATTTCTTTTTAACTCAGTTTTGTCTTAATTAACTATGCCGAATAACAAATCTATACAGCCTCAATCTTAAGCACTGGCTCAAATATAAATACACTCTACAGTCTAATAGAGACAACACACAAAAGGAGAATTAGCATATATGTAAATATGGGCGTCTTCACTGTGTGTTTTCTTAAGCAAAGCCACTTATTTGGATGATGGTGTGAGATATAGATTTTTTTCTGTATTTGTTCCATATACGTAAGCCAATAAAAGTTAATGTTGCAACAGTACACTCCGTAAAAAAAAAGTTACATTTTTATAATATTTTAAAAGCCTTCAAGTTCATATCTTATATTCTGTTTATGCTTATATGTTTTAGGTATCAGATTTCCTGGTGGACCATGTGACAGAAAGCCAAATTACTCCACCATGTCTATGCCTTCCACAATATCGCCACCTACTGGTAACCTCCCATCTATGACAAACCTGAACTCTTCTGGTTCTACTGGATCATACTTGTGAAAGCAAATATAGAATCTGAAAAAAAATGGGAAGACTTCAAACACATTTATACTAAAATGTCACATTAACATATACATGTGTGTGAATGGAACAGTGGTCTCAGTAGTATGGTTGAATTTTTATTGTTTTACAGGTGTTTGTTTTCTAATTGCGTTAGAAAAAACTCTTAGTTCCTTCAACGTTGGCGATATAGCATTAAGTTTTTACGTTCATTTTTGTCGGATCTATAGCTTACTTAACATGATCATTTCATTTTTTTTCATATGTTGTTTCATTGCATCAATCAAGCTTTTAATTTTATTACATTACAATATGACTCCAAATATTGTTAAAAGGGAGAAAAGGTATATTCTATTTTATAAATTGAACTGTGTTTTGTAGGCTACTTTTGTAAGAAAGAAAAACAGTAACACCGATATACCACAGTGCTCAAATATAACATCACTCACATATTTCATTTTAGTTTTTAACTTAAGGTATTTGGCAGAGTATGAAAAGCACGGTACATACGATGAAACACCCCACACTTCAGAAATACCAGGTAATACTAAGCTATTTTGTATAACACGAAAATAATTACAGGTACTTCGTATAGACCATTTATAGTTTGAAAGAACCTTTAAATTCTAAAATGTATTTTGATACACGGCTAAATCTGTCCAATTTCTTAAAGTTCAAAGAAACATGAATCTGTTTAAATGAGACAGCCAGGTTCGTCCTTTATTTATGATTCAAAATGATAGTCTCCGAGTGATGTGATGACCTTTTAAGAGCTCTTATGGTAAGTTATAACACTGCTGAATAGATTTTCCTGCACTTTAGATAAGCGAAGCACGTGAGAGCTACATTGTTCTATAAGTAGTACTGGTGCTGCCTTTGTCAACGCTAAAGTAATCATAATAAAAAATGATAAAACAAAGAGGGATCCAGTTACGTAATACATTCAAAACGGAGGTATTAAAAAAAATTTCGTGGACTGGTTCATTAGATGTATGTTGAATTGACGACAATAGGAAATATTTTCTACTTGCCTAATTAGGCAAGTGAACGTTTATAAGTTGGAATTTCCTGATGGTAATATATTAAACATCATTAAGTAAGTGGTAAACATCTGACATCTAATGATTTGTGGACATTTGTTTTTACAATAAACTTCACTTAGAGAATAAATACCGTTCTATGTACAAAAGATTATTAGTTGTAACCATCAAATTTCTTCACAATCTTATTTTGGCATAAAAGACAGGTTAGAGCTAGTGCAATAAGTTCACCTTACACAATCCACGTTCGTGTTTATTTGCCTTTCCATTACAAGTCAAAAGATATATTTAAACACTTTATGCTAGACATTAGCAATGATCTACATTTACTGATCGTAGCGATCACATGAAGTATAATGATCATACAATCTTTCGTACTAATTAGTATATATAAAAATGACATTTTCTTTGCAGCACTTTCACTTATCTGAAAATTCTTGTATAAATCATATAACGACATAGGCGTGGTGCCAGTTAAGCCTAAAACACATGTATTCAATGATGACAATAACTATAACTGTTTGTTATAACATATAAATCTGGTAATAACTTCGTAACAGAAAATAGGTGATACTAAATAATGGGTTTCATCTAAAACTCTTAACTCTCACAGTGGTAAACGCTTTCATAACTTTCCACCAAACAAAACACCATTTTTTAAGGATTTAAAATGAAGCACACGTGCCGCATTTTAATCTATTTGTATTTTTTTTTCTTTTACGACAAAGTGAATTTATATTCCTGCTCGTAGAATTACATCAGAATATATTTTCTGCTTGTCGGCTTTCTGGAAATTGACTTAGCTTACGATAATGTATCATCTTTTTATAATTTTCCTCTAGTCATCTTAAATCTATATTTCATCAAATTGTTCTCTCCAGGGCAGGACCCAGAGACAAGTGTCAAAAATAATCCTTTAAGTCTTGGCATATATACCTGACAATATTTAAATGAAGAATCTCAGTTATTTGAGTACTATATACCACACAATTTTTTCATTAAGATATTAGCTGAAACTACAGATTATTGTTGCTATCTAAAGTTTTTAAAATGGTTTTATTCAGCTATTTGTACGACAATTTTCACGTTAACATTCATTAAATTAAAAATAGTCAGAACATTGTCTGGGTTATGACTATTTTTTGAATATTGGGAAATATTTTTATAGCCAGGACTTGATAGACAAATTAAGCACATTTTGGTAGAAAATAAGGGCGTTGTAGGTAAACAGACTATATTAGCAAACTATAGTAGAGTACGTAATTGTTTAGTGAGGCAATTAACTGTAAGTAACATTTATTGACAGGTTATCACAGTGGATTTAAGCGTTTATTAATAAGTTTACTAGCATAGCTAAGTGTTTATTGACGTATATCAGCGTAGGTAAACATTTTGGACAGGTTATAATAATGTAGGTAAACGTTTTGGACAGGTTATAATAATGTAGATAAACGTTTTGGACAGGTTATAATAATGTAGGTAAACGTTTTGGACAGGTTATAATAATGTAGGTAAACGTTTATTGACATGATACGTATTTTAGATAAACGTTCATTGATAGTTTATAACAGATACTGTAGATAAACGTGTAGAAACAAGTTATAACGAAACTACCTTGCACTATTTTTTACAGGATAGTACAAAGTTAAGAAATTGTCCGCAACTACATGTATAAAACATTTTATAATGACAGTAACACTTCAACGGTGCTAATTATGAAAGCATAGTTTAAACAATTTTCTTCTTTCTTGTATAATCAAATTGTGTGTATTAATACTTTAGTTTTAGATATATATCAATGCAGTAGGAATACTTTTACTATTCTACACTATTACTTGCTTATAGTCTACAGTTTTAACAGAAAACACACCATATATATATATATAATGAACGTGGAAGGTATCTACAGTTTTAACAGAAAACACACCATATATATATATATATATATATATATATAATGAACGTGGAAGGTATCTGAGGGAATTTTACTATTTACATGTGTGGTGAATTAAACGTCTTAATTTATTGTTCTTCTTTTTTACTATCTTTTTTTAGATCTTATTTTGATTTGAGAAATGTATGAGAAAATATTACACATTTCATGAAAAGTATAAGCTATTAATGAGCAGTAAAATCCCCAAAATTTTTCAGCGATCACTTTTTTTTGTTGTTGCAAAAACTGTGAAGTTTTGATAAAATCGTCGAAAAACGAACGTTCTCTATAGCTGTTAAAAACTTGGTTAAAGTGCACCGATTAATCTTTGCACAGGTAGTGTAAAGGAAATTGTTATCGAACTTTAGCACACACTGAGTAGAGGAGCTACTCTTTTTTTTTCACGAAATATAGCACTAAAGTAGCTAAATCTAAATTGCAAACAAATAAGAAAAAAATAGAAAGGAAATCCCAAATTAAAAGTTATATTTTCGATCTCATTATTAAAATATTACGTTTAAGACGTTATTTCTCTAAATACTTATGCGTGAATTTAACGCTGAATTGATAAAGAGATATAAATAATTCTTTTAAATTACAACTTTTATATCTCACAGTTGTGCCAAATAAATTATGATGCAATAACGAACCAAAGCGTTTTTTGAAATAAAACTTCATATGGATATATATATATATATATATATTTATACATATTATATGTACTGTGTTAAATAATATTTGAATTAAGAGTGTTATGTCTGTTCTTATTATATTTTTATTCAGTGTCTTAGTTGATAATTAAGTAACAGCTATTTTAGATTTTTAGCAAATAGTTCCTTTGTCTACGCTGGATACAAGAGTCAATGCTAAGGTAACTGTCATTTACACCAGCGTTTATGTTCATATAATAATACCCGTTTATGTGTGTTTAATTAATCAACTTCTTACGCTATGTTTAGAACTTGCGTTGTGCAGTGAACAGTACAGTAGTGAATAAAATATTAAAGTTCGATTTTTCGTATTCGAGTGTATTCAGAAAATGAACCCCACGAACTTTAAACAAGATGATGTAGTTTTCTTTAACTTTCCATCTTTTATTTTTGTAAATAGTCTTGAGCTACTTAAACTAAATAGTATTTGTGTGAATTGTACTGATTGTATCAATTTAGATACATATAAAACTTTGATAGTTAACCAAAAATGTTTAAAGTGTATATAATGAAAAATACATGACCGCTGTTTTTCAAAAGCAATTTCAATTATTCACTTGTATTAAAATACATGGATAATACTGGCTTCAAATAACATTAATAACTAGGAAAAACAACAGCTATTATGCAAAGTTTATATTTCTTGTTCACATTACTATTAATATAATCTCTTAGTTTTCGACTTTTAATTCTATAAAATATGATGTTTTAATGCTAAATTTTAAACATTTCAAGGTTTTGATCAAATTATAGAATAAGAAAAAGTTCATACTATTCTATAATAATATTTTTGGTAGTTAATATCTACAAGAATATTTTGGTAAAGATAATTATCGCAACTGTCATTTTGTAAACAAATAAAACATCTTAGAATCATAGATATTTAGTAGTTGTGATTAGCTAGCAGTTTCTATGCTTTACAATCGATTATTTCTGGGTAACCAGAACACAAATTAGACTATCAACTACTATTAATGCTATAATGAAGTAATATGAACATTTTTGAGTAGCAATGTTAAGCTTTTGAATGAGCATTTGAAATCATAATTGTGATTTTTTTGTCATATCTTTAATAAAGCAGATTAATCATGTAATAGTTTAAAATGCACTCTGTTTTCTAATATGAACCTTATATGTATATATTTCAATTAAACAGTGGAATAATTTGAATTAATTTCCAAAATTGCTGTTGTATACAACTAATAACTCTATAATCTACAGCTTTGTCAATTTTACTCAAATAGGTTTTGTATAGCCTTAATAGAAAGACGTGATTCAAGGTACAGTGGAGATATGGTGCAATTCCTTAAAGCAAATCATTGTATCCTCAAGCTATAACGTTTCGTTTTCATTGCTTTTAGGTTACCTATCTGCTATCAATATGTTGCGAAGTATGTGCTTATTTTCACAGACTAAAAATCCTCACAGCATTGTCGTCTGTTTAATGACACTATGGTAGATGATTATTATAATGGTA